CAGAATCGGTGGTGGTGTTCTTTTTGCGGTGCATTCATCGATACCACCCGAGGAAGTTAGTCTTCCTGTCATTGAATATACCGAATTTAAATGTATAAGTGTACATGCTGGAAACACTTATATTTATCGCAACACTATATCTAGCGACAGCCAACTCATTGCCAACATGTTTGCTCGGTTCTTTAGGTCCAATTATTCTGTAGACTTCCCTATAAGTGGAGACTATCCGTACGAGCTTTGTCCAATCAACTCTGCTTATATTCCAGTAATATCTTCCGATGAAGTTTTACACTATTTAAAGACCTTAAAAGCGTCATTTAGGCCTGGAACTGATCATATTCCGACCTGTTTTCTTAAAAACTGCGCTGAGAACATCTGCGTGCTTTTAACAACTCTATTCAATTAGTCACTTGAACATGGCGTTTTTCCGTCAGCCTGGAAGGAGTCTTTTATAATACCACTTCACAAAAACGGCAGCACAGGTCCTCTATAGAAAACTATCGAGGCATAGCGAAACTCTCCGCTATCCCCAAATTATTCGAAGCAATTATTGTTAACCAGCTGACATATTCTATATCTTCTTCAATAACACAATCTCAACACGGGTTTTCTAAAGGAAAATCTACTATGACTAATTTATTGGAGTTTACAACTCATGTCGCAAACGGTTTTAGAGAAAATGCTCATACCGACGTAATATACACCGATTTCAGTAAAGCTTTTGACAAAGTATGTCACTCGTTACTCATCCGTAAACTCGACCTAATCGTCTTTCAGCCCAGTCTTCTTCAATGGATCTCATCTTACCTCGCTGATAGAAGACAAAGAGTTATTGTTAATAATTGTTCTTCCAACATCATTAAAGTTTCTTCAGGAGTTCCTCAGGGAAGCCACCATGGTCCGATTCTGTTCCTAATATTCATTAATGATGTTTCTTCTATGATAAAACATTCAAAAATTTTAATGTATGCCGATGATGTGAAACTTTTTAAAACATTGTGCTCTATCGAAGAAAGGTGTTTGTTACAAGCGGATCTGAACAACGTGGTTAGTTGGTGTAATGCAAACTATATGCCATTAAACCTTCAAAAATGTAAAGTTATGTGTTTCTCTCGGAGGGCTGTTCAACCAGCTGTTTATTCAATATCAAATTATAATCTGGAGCAGGTATCCAATTTTGTCGTTCTTGGTATCACAATGGATTCCAAACTCAATTTCAACCATCATATTAATGTTACAGACAATAAAGCCAAAGGCGTTTTTGCATTTGTGAGGCGATGGTCCAAAGAGCTAAAATATCCTTATGTTACAAAAGCTCTTTTTATCAGTTTAGTTAGACCTATACTACAATACGGATCTATTGTTTGGAATCCCCGCTACCAAGTTCATTCAGAAAGGATTGAATCATATCAAAAACAATTCTTGCTTTTTGCATTGCGTAATTTTAACTGGGACTCAGATTACAATCTCCCCCCTTACACAAGTCGTCTAAAGCTCATACATTTGCCTACACTCGCAAGTCGTAGAGAACTGCTGGGTATAATATTTATCGTAAAATTAATGACAGGCTTGATTAATAGCCCGGCCCTCCTGGCTGAAGTAAATTTTAATGTTCCTTCTCGAGTGTCAAGACACTTTCGACCTCTATTTAAGCCATGCGTTCCGTGGTTTATGTCAAGATTTTAACTGTCATTCCAGCACGTTTGACTTATCGGACTCGATTTTTACTATAAAGAAAACTATTATTTCCACTCTCAATAATTTAAATACTATCTTTAGCATATCCAATCAGCTGATGAATTTGATTCTGTGGCTGAATAGTTTTAGATCTCGACACTTAACAAACTCCTGTTTCCACTCCTCGGCATCAAAAAACTAAAAAAAAAAAAGTTCCGTACGTTATGCGGACTGCGCCCCTCGTGTCGGTTGGGCAGGAATGGAGGGTAACAAGCGGTTAGGATTAATTAATTACGCATGATGCAATAATACAAGGTGGTATCAGTTGTGACAGCTCGATTTGACACTACCTTAGCTCAGTAGAATGAGAAGAAAAACGGGAAGAAATGAATCCCCATATGGGGGAAAAATATAAAATTTCACATTTTCTCCTTAACAAAATTTGCTTTTTTATAGTATATTCGTTATGAAATGAAATAAAGTAAGATAAAATACCTTTTTAAGAAAACAAAGTGTGTATACTGAGAAAAAATAAAAAGCATTCAACTATATTAATGGGCAAAGAATAGGAAAATAAGTAACACTGTCTCACGTAAGGTAGTTAATAAGGCGGAATTAGAGCGAGAAGTTGCCAACTGATAACACCTTGTATTATTGCATCATGGAACTTCAGAACGTTCTAGAGTTGCCAGGAGTGCGTGTGCAGGTATATAAGGGCGCCACCAGACACCGGAGTGAGTTACAAGTCAGCAAGCTACAAGTAAAGTGAGCAGAGAAGCGAGTTGAGAATAAGCAAGCTATAAGCTTAATTGTATTAACAAGTTTAGTAAAGCGTTGTTATTGCTTTAAGTGTTTTTACTGTATAAGCAAGTATTGTAAATTGTTTGTTGTAAATAAGGTTATAGGCTGTTTTTGCTTACGCGTAAAAGCAAATTTAGCGCATTTAGCGCATTTAGCTCTAAATGCTACTCTAAATGTACATTTATCCATACAAAATTCGTCACCTAAATGCAACTCCATTTTTGCATTAAGAATCTAAATACTAAAAGCAACCCTGTGATCTTCCAAAATTTCCACGATTCGAACATGGTTTAAAGAGAAAAGGTGGCCACATTGCTTTTTCGAGTATACAGTTGCTAGCTGCGTTTCAGTGATCGCCGATCGAGATTTCTTTTATTTTGCATTACATATTTGGATAAAGTAAAGTTAAGCAAATTCAACATCGATTTGATGCTGATAGAAATCTGGATCAATTTGTGATCAACTCTGTTTGGTTTGTTTCCTAATTAAGTGAGGAAATTTTAATTTACAGCACCGACAAATGAATATATACACAAACAAATGTTCGGTTATGGTTAAAACAATTCAAGTTTTTGTATTGAATTTTTGGTTTAAAATTTATTTTTTCCTTTCCAGTAGGGTTTTTGCACATTATCTTCTGCGTGAGAATTGATCGTAATATATACGCATCTAAATAAGAGACTGGAACACGGCTGTTTGGCAAAAGCATTCGATTTCGAACTCGCGTAAATGTACATTTGCTAAATGCTATAGCATGAACGCTCTTCGAAAACATATGTTCGAAACTGCTAAATGTTCATTTTAAATGCAGCAAAAACGCTGCATTAGTTGTACTACAATTTGGTCATCGTTAAGCGAAGCGCACATTAGCGCGATTCCATCGTTGCGAATACGTTGCGAATTCGGCTGTTAACTTCGAATCCGCAAACGTGCGCACACTTGAGCGATTTTTTCGCGTCGATTTCCGATGTACAATTCACTCAATTTTCCCTTTATTTCGTGTATTTTCGCACTCGGCGTGCCCAAATTATACAAAATACTATTATTACGAACGTTTTTATTAGTTTTTGTACATTACACGTTTTTTTCTTTGCCTTTATTGCTGTGACACCTTTCTTCTTCTTCTTTGACGCCTTCAAAACGCTGCAAGCCGCGTTTCGAACGCGTCAATAGAGAGGAACATTGAATGTTCGAAAAATTCGCTGCGACGGAATCGTGCAAGTGTGCGCTAGCGCATTAAAATGTATGTGTAGCATTGTTGTAATTTTTGGGCTTGCGGATTCGCAACGACAGAATCGCGCCAATGTGCGCTTCGCTTTAGGGGAAATGTTTAGCTATTTGTACAACGATTGAGGGGTGTGGGCGGAGGGGGAGGGGTGTGGGCCCCACAAATCCCCCTAAACGAAAGAGGGTTGACGCCGCTTTATGAAAAGTCATCCCTCCCCCCCCCAACCCCACCCACAGACCTCTGGGGAGCTGTTTGAAAATTGGGGAATTTTAGATTTTTTGCAAGGAAAAAACAAAGTTAAACTTGCGTCCGAAGAAGGGGGGCTGAACATCTTTCTGCGTAGGCGGCCTTCGGTCGCGCTTAGGGATTATAACCCTTACTACGTAGAATTCTCCTTTCTGTGTTACATAACTTAGGCTACCGCCCCAGTGATGTAACCTTGGGAAAGGATGAGGTAACTAGAGTTCCCTTTCTGTGTGGTAAACCTGGGGCTACCGCCCCAGTGATGTCTATTTGGGTTACTGGGTGTTTTATAAAAATATCTTGTATATAAAAATGTATATACAAATTTATAACAAAAATTTGCAACAAATTATTGTTAAATTAGAGCACAGATTTAGTAAATTAAATTTTTGTAATAAAGCGTGAACTGTTGTCTACATGTGTGTGTAAAAGTTTTTTGATTCGATTCACGCGTTTGGGCACAGCAACCCAAAATCGTTGTACAAATTCATAAACAGTACCCATCGTTAGCATTTATTTAACAATCCAGCAATACGAACCGAAAGATTTGGGAAATCCGGATAGGTTTCAAGGATAATCGTAACAGTATTTTAGGCCCGTCCACATACAACTTTGGCGTTGCGTTGGCGCTGGCGTCGCTTTGACAGCGGCGCGCGTAACGCCCGTGCTTGCTACAATGAACGCTTAGCACAGAATACTTTGGTCACTAAATTGACATACTAGCGGCTGATAAATCAAAATTTTTACATCAATAATTGCATTAAAAACTATATTTCTTGCCCGCATTTGATTAAAAATAAAAATTAAATCACATAATTTTGATTATTTAGAACAGCTGACGAACGACGCGCGCGAAAAGTTGAGAGTTGGCCATCTTTCTGCGTTGTGTTGGCGTTGGCGTTGCCCAACTTTGGTTATATGGAGACTTTCATATAAATGCATGTATTCATAGTCAGCTGTCGAAGCGACGCCAACGCCAACGCAACGCCAAAGTTGTATGTAAACGGGCCTTTTTTGGGCTTTATCGTTGTAGTGAGAAAAAATCCAAAACCATCGATAGTTTGCCACCTCTAGATTGCGGCAACGAAGAATATGCGTAGACGAAAAATTGTTGAATAAATTCAAGTATTGTGTGTTAATAATATTAAGATTGATAGGCAGAATGGATGCTGGATGTTTATTTTATCGTGAGGTTTTACCTGACACTTCGTGTCAAGAGGAGTGGACTGAAATTCAGTTAAATACTGGTAATGAACTGTCTGATGAATAGTAATTTACATACATACTTATGTACATATATATATTTCAGGTGCAACGCAGAGTACATTACAGGACATAAAAGTTGCGGAAAAAGCTGGAGGATATTGTTATCAAAACGTGCGATTGAACCACAATCGCAATCGTTTCATTTATTGGTAATACAAAATAAGATTTGTGTTAAAACATTTTATTAACTCCACATTATAGGCGCACTTATCAAGATGTACTGGAACTGTCCGAAGTTTGTTTGGACTTCACTTTGTACAAAAACAATGTTCGCTACAAGTTTTCTGACACTCCAGTTCTAAATGTTTGTATAAGTGAGCAAGATGGCTATGTCACGCTGCTTGTGACGACGGTTTGCAGTCTCCACCATCTAAAGTTTCCACATCCCGATACGTTGGCTGAAGGTAGTGGCAATAAAATAGGCGCACAGAATGGATCAAGCAATTTGTCATCAAAGAATGGTGGAATTTCTATAGACTTTAATGAGTCGCAAACATTTTCCATTTTTCATGAAGCTAATAACTCGTCTGTGCGCGATCCAAGCAGTTTCTATGTCATTGATTCACAGAATGCAGCCTCAAGTCCAGCGCCTCACGCAGCTACCAGCTTTTTATCACCGAGTGGTGATGATGCCTACTTTGCATTAGCTTGTCAATCAGAACTAATGTTGTTCGTAATGAATTGCGAGACTGGTGATACCACTTCTCAGTCATTAAAGGAGAACAATATAATGCCTCGGCTATTCTCGAATTTGAAAAACGCTTTCACGTGAGTGTCTTCTGCGTAAAACTTAATTCATATGTATCTTTTTATGAAAATGGTTTTGAATTTGATAGCGGCAAAAACGATTTTTCGGATGCCAACTATGCAAATTCGGTTGTATTTAGTTACATCAATGGTCAGATATACTTACTTGCATTATATCGTGACGATCAATTGCGTGTGTGGTCAACAACGAATTTTCAATGCGCTTGTTCTATCGATTGTGTACGCGACAATAACAGAACTCGTATACAAGGACGTAAGTTTTAACACTCCGCTTACACAACGCGTATATTGATTGTAATTATAATTAAAATTTTCGTTAGCTCAAAGCAGCGCATTACGTAAAATAAGCAACACATCATTCTGTGCTTTTCTATCGCACGCTACCAGATCAGAATTTGTTTGCATTAACATACATCCTGAAACTGGCACTTCATCTGGATTGAGCATAGGTTATCGTAAAAGCATACCTGCACCAGCACTGGATTTAGCTGATTTT